GTATGTATGTATGTATGTATGTATGTATGTATGTATGTATGTATGTATGTATGTATGTATGTATGTATGTATGTATGTATGTATGTATGTATGTATGTATGTATGTATGTATGTATGTAGGTATGTAGGTATGTATGTATGTATGTAGGTAGGTAGGTAGGTAGGTAGGTAGGTAGGTAGGTAGGTAGGTAGGTAGGTAGGTAGGTAGGTAGGTAGGTAGGTAGGTATGTATGTATGTATGTATGTATGTATGTATGTATGTATGTATGTATGTATGTATGTATGTATGTATGTATGTATGTGTGTGTGTGTGGACATGGAGATAGAAGAGGAGGGCAGGTGTTCGAAAAACTAGATGAAAAACAAATAGAGTTGGCATGGCATTTTTAAGAGTAGGCTACTGGAAATCCTGCAGTTCCATCCAGATAGGGCCCATTTTAGAAAAATTTGTTGAAAATCATGACATTAATTTTGTAGGAATTTATTAGGCCCCGCTGAATTATGCTGGTGATTATAATGTTACTGACTGAAGAGTAGTTACATCAGTCCACTGGGGCAAGGACAACTTGGGCAAGCTATATTTGTAAGAAAGGGAGTACAACATTTGATACTTGGTGTCAATCAATGGAACCAGAGCAGTAAAGAACTTCAAGGGATACAGTCTGAAATAGGGGGTTTTAAGTGCAACATTGTAAATGTATGTGGATGCAGAGAGCCCTTTGTTAAAAATGAGCAACGGGACTGGCTCAAAGATCTTGAACAATTGCCAGTTAATGGAGTCCTTATTTGTAGGAATTTAAACACACGAGCCTTTCATGTGAAAATAGACAAAGAAAAACCTTGGACCACGCTCTAGTAGAATCAGAGTTTGTATCAACGATGGTACACCCACAAGAAAAGAATTAGGGCTAGGCGATGCCGACACTACCTCTGATCTCCTACTGGTCTCGTGAATTGCAAAAGCAGACACTGAATGGAGTGTACTTGGTGATCATTGAAGTGAACACCTGTCATTTACAGTGCTGCTGTCCTAATTGGGCAAGACCATGGTAAGGAAGGCGCTTAAAGTTTTTAGATATGACAAGAGAGTCGCTAATTGAGCGTCCTGGGAGAAAAGCATGGTCAGAGGCCACCAGCAGTAAATTAATTCAGCCACCATGGGGGACCCTAGAGTTAGAGCACTCGTGGAAAGTGAACAGGACAGCGATAAAAGAATGGCAGCGAGAACGAAAGTTCCCTCTTTTTTCCGCAAGAAGTAGAGGGTAGCAGAGGACGAGAAGAGAGCCAAAATTGCCTAGTTTAATTAGTGTGCCGTGAATAAGACTGAGGGAGATGGAACAATAGGTAAATTCTGGAAACTGCACAGGCAGATGAGCCGAAAGGAACAGCCCACCTTAATTGGTACGATTTACTGGGAAAATGGCCATGTCCTGAAAATTTACAGTGAGAAGGGTTATTCATTTAGATTTTTTAGAGCTCGCAGTTAAAAATGACCGAATTATCAGAACAGTTATTGTTAGTGATCTTACTAGAACAGTCAGAGATAAGTCGTATGAGAAGTAATCGATTTAAATCATATGCAGAAGAGAGCAAACGATAGTGCACTCGACCAAATAAAGTTAGGTCTAGTAATATCAGAAGTTGTAGTGACCACGAACTTAGAGACATGGCTTCGTGTTTCAACAACAGTGTGGATTACGGGGCCTATTGTGGGGAAAGCAAGAATAGACCCACTGCCTACCCAAACGCATGTCGTAGGAGTCCACTAACAGGGAGCTTCCTTCGAATTAGTATTGCATCTTCCTGAGAGGCAAGAAACCAGCAGTCTGCATACAAATTTGTCAGATAGGTAAAACGGATGCACACGCAACATTTAGTTTCTGGAACATGACGGCAGTCCAGAAGTGGATGAACAACCAAAACTGTCCGTCAGAGTTTACAGCTGGTGAACGCGAAGAAGAAGAACAACAACAGAATTGCAAGTGTCGATTCCAATGGACTAACTGCAGAGTTACTCCATACTACTCCCGAAACCAAATAGATCATACTCAACTAAATGGTTATAGAATTGTTATGTTACAGGATACATTCGGCAAGATTCTTGAAAAGATAGTGGCTGGCAAATTAGAGGGTTACCTTGAAAAACATAGAAGCTTACCGACCTAGAAAGGAAAGGTGGGAAAAAGTCGCGATCCCTCACGTATATAAGGGGGTTTCGATGTAAACATGAAACAGTGGTTGCGGCCCGTGATTTGGAAGATGTATAAAACAGGATTAGATCTGACGTTAAACTGTACACACTTATTGATGGTCAGTCTCTGGACTATCAACTTGATTGCAGCAGCCATGTATGAATGACAGACTGCCTTTCGCCTAGGCTCGTGGAGCTCTGAACTACGTAAACACGCACCTGGCTTTACATAGAGTTCCGCCACCCCCCCCCCCCCCCCACCCCCACCCCACCATGTACACACGCAAGATGACGGCAACAGAGAAAATATATTAGGGATAAACTTGGCTTTTGCCAACGATGTCTTAGTCTACATACAAGGGAGAGATAGAATATAAATATTGAGTTCACGGTAAATATAAGGTAGGTGGGTGTTGCGAAGAGACACGCTCGGTCATCAATCCAGATAAGGCGCCGGTATTTTTGGTGTTCTTTAAATAATAGAAATGTTAGAAATGTGTTACTGGAGATCACAATAGGCAGCAGTAAGATAAAGATAGATAATTTACAAAAATATCTAGGAGTAACTTTTTCTTTACATGAGTCTGTCTTTAAAACACCACGTGAAAGAGGTATTTTTAAAGATAGGAAAATGATTTAATTCTTTGAAGGTGATGGCGTCAGCGGACACGCAACAGGAAATGCTACGTTTACTCCAAGCGCAACTGACACTTTCGGTGATGAAGTATGGTTTGGGACTGCTAAAACTATCTCATATCCAAATAGACTGGTTGGAAAGCATACAAAATGATGCCCTGCGAGTTATTTTAGGGCGAACACCAGACATGGCAACTGTATGCATGCGGCACATACTTGCATTAATCTCCGAAAATGAGAGTTAAAGGTGTTACAGGCGAAAATGTATCTTAAAGGTCGTTAGGGACAGTAACAAAACTTGTTCGTGAGGCCCAAGGGGATAGCAAGGAACAGCAGCTGAAAAGAGATGGCTTTCGGATAGCACTTGCAGAAGTTACGAATAAAACTGTTCGTGCTGCTTTCAAGATAGCGCACGGAGAAGAATGGATTACAGTAGCGCTCAGCAAAACAGACTTACATAGAATGAAAGTTGCCTTAGGCCGAGGGTGCCATGTATGGACAGCTGCTGAAACAGAGTCAGTGGTGCAAGAGCTGATCAATAACAGTTCACGCCCAGGTGATTTTACATATGTGTGGTGAGAGGTAGGAAGAGTGAGTACAGTTTTATAGCAAAGATTGATGGACACTGCGTGAAAACAGAGAGCCCCGCATACAACGCCACTACACCCAGTATGAGAATGGATGTGGGGCGTAACGGCAGCTTTATGATGGCTTGAGAATAGCACAGCCCAGCCTGTTGTGATTGTAACAGATTCACAGAGCATGCTTCAGACAATTGGAGCTGGTGTATTAGGATCCGAGTGGCTTGTATCACTTGATAAGACCCACTTCAAGTGCATATCATTGAGTTTCTGTCCAGGAGATTCAGATGTGCAAGGTAACGAGCAGGCTGATAGATTAGCTGCTGTCGCTCCTCTCGCCAGCGAGCTACTATGATGAAGCGGGTGTTGTGAAGGCTCCATGGGATCAAACAGACAGTGTAGTAGAACAGATAGGGAATCCATATTCTGAAAGAATAATTCAACAGGGTATGCAGAGGTTCTGGAAGATATTCAACATTGAAGGGTAGGTAAACAGAGACAGGCTTTTAATCCGGTTACAACTGGTACCGTTAGCATGTCGACTCTTCCTTCGTTTGGTACTGTCCCGAGTGCAGCGATGTCAACTCTTGATTCATTCATTCATTCATTCATTCATTCATTCATTCATTCATTCATTCATTCATTCATTTAATCATCAGTTCATCATTCACTCAACTAAATCTTGAAATTTTCCAAATAAATTACATACAAAGTTCAAGTAAATTTCTGAGAAGATGTCAAACTGATGCATGACGAAATTGATGTAACAGTCCTCTTTTGGAGCGAGTCAGCTCAGCGGAGGCAAATAAGTCATCACGGTTAGAAGCAGTCCCGTGCGTTAGATTTTTCTCAGTATGATGAAAGTCTTAGAAATGCCCCCCCCCCCCCCCCCCCCCACAAATCGCTTAGCCCCGTCAGATAAGAAGTTTTCTACGTTTATGCCGCCCCTCACCCCCCCCCCCCCCCACGTCATGCGGCAGCCTCCAGTATCATAGCACGACAGTGTCCCTGGTCTAAAGATAATGGTGCAGCGCATAGTGTCTATGACAGTGTTTTCCGAACTTTTTTGTTTTGTTTTGTTTTTGGTGCCCTGCCCCAACCTAAGCCTTTCTAAAATGCACATGCTCCCTCCCTCGACCCGTGTAACTTAAACTCTCGACGAGTCCATTTTCGAATTGGACCCCCCCCCCCTTTTTTTTTAAACAAACAAATTGCCGTCTCCCCATTCACAATAAAATTGTTTCACTTACCAACACAATTGCCCCTAAGCCCCGCCCCCCCCCCCCCCTCTCACATAGTGCGTGGGTCCCACTTTGGAAAACACTGGTCTAGGGAATCTGATCCAAACTCAACACTGAGAGAAGAGGAAAACTGAACTTATAATCAGTCTGCAAATGGTGTCAATAGTGTCATCAGTATTGAAACGTTGCGCTAGCTGTTGAAGATGGGGACGGAGTGCCTACGGGAATGTCTCCAGTTGTGTGATGCCGGTGTTTAACTCTGCTCAGCCTGAGTTGTTTCCCTTGCCTTTTACTGTGTCCCGAGAGACAATTTTTATTTCGATAAATGAGGTTATGATCTGTTTTCCACAGTGTTAATAACACAGGCTACGTGAAAGCACTGTCATTTAACAGAACGCGGAGCATACCGACAAGTCCACAAGGTGTGTATGAATTGTCATGCTGCAATCATACATGTTTTAGTTTGCCATTTGGCTAACTCTTTCTCAAGATTTGAATTCCTGCGTTGTATAAACCAAAGTGGTCATGTTCATAATCTGACTCTCGTTTTAAGATGCACAGTGTAGTAAGAATCATAGAGCTTTGTGTTTCACGATTTGTGCTTTATGACGTGTGCTTTACTAAAACAGTCATTTAAAAAAAGACACAGAATAGAAGGAATTAAATGGCACCATAGAATCACTATTCTCGAGCTTTAGAAGATAACAAATTCTAGTGAATGAAGAGGTCTTTAAAAAACGGTGGCGTTGGATAGGACACACGTTGACAATACCTGACAAAAATATCACTAGAATGTCTTTGCGCTAGTACCTAAAAAAAGAAAAGCAAGCAAATAAAATACTCGGAGAAAGAAACTAAAAAGTCAGCATAAGAAGTTGGGAAGGGCATGGACTGCGCTGCATGCGAACTCAAGGGATATGATCACTTCGCATGAGCTGGTTGGGTGCTTCCTAATAAGCATGTCGTAAGAGTCGACTACTTGGGTGCTCCTTCGAAGACGGAGTGCAATTGCCTGAGATGCAATGAACCAAAAGTAGGCCTAAAAACATGTCAGTTTTGTGAAACGAAGGTTCAGGTTGTGGAGGAACACTAGAGTCCAGAGGTGGACGAATAAGCATACCTTCCCACGAGTTTGCAACCCGTGAGCGCTAAGAAGAAGAAATGTGGGATAAATCAGGGAATAAGATGATTGGTGTTGTATACCTTTTGAAACGTTGATGCAAATTCTGTGATAATACACAAGAGAAGATACAGAGAAAAATACCAGGCAGTAACTTCTGCATAGAAGCCGATTTACACGTCCCCGAGGTCGACCCAACCTTACATGTGTACCAGGAAATGTCCGGCGAGGTAAAGTCGGGTCTGTTGTTGACCCGGGATGACCTGAACCATGATCATCCATTGAGTGTTTTGTGTGTGTGTGTGTGTGTGTGTGTGTGTGTGTGTGTGTGTGTGTTTTATTCCATTCTACGAAGCTGTTATTAACAGCACAAAACAATTGTTACAAAATGAGTAAACAAAGAAAACATTCACGTGAGGGCTGGAATAAATCTAGCTATAAAAGGCTAGGGCTTAGAAGGTAATAGCTGAACCCACGACCCGCGGTGCTTGATGTTTACAGTTGTACCGCTCGCCTAGAAAACTCCACTTTCTCTGCTTCTTTGTGGTAATGTGTCTTCTTCTCCCGTTGCAAAAAGTACTCAGTTATTATTTAATGTATCCATCACACAAATTTACAAGGCAAATAGGAGGCGCCCTAAGCCCTCTGTGGCTTAGACGTTGCGAACGCGCTTCGTAATGCCGGGGTTCGATCTCAACTAGGAGCCTTGCGCCTTGCGTTGGTTTCGATAGTGGTATCGAGAAGCCGACCGTCCAGGGAGCAATGACAAAAAGTAGATTTCAATTTGCTAAGGAAAACCACACCAGCAAAAAAAAAAAAAAAATGCTGGGGTTGGTTCTGCAACGTCCTGTACAGGATACGCAAATAACTCAAGGAGCATAAGCCTAGTTTAAGAGCATAATAAAAAAAATAATAATGCACTAAATGAAATATAAATATAATAACACGTTTGATATCATATGAAACGTGTGAGCAAAAACTTTTAAGGATAATTGTTATGCACGATTAGAGGATGTTACTTTACCTCTTTACAGTAAATGTTTCATTTTATTTATTTATTTATTTATTTATTTATTTATTTATTTATTTATTTATTTATTTATTTATTTATTTATTTATTCATTTATTTAATCATGCATTCATTTATTTAATAATAGATTGGAACAATGGGGGTGCTCAAGGAACCAAGTAACAAGTATGTCGGAGACAAAATAAATAATCTGCAGGACATCAGCAACCTGTTTTGTCAGCGGTAAAATATCACAAGCTAGTTTACTTACGGGCACGTGGTGATTCAATTGCAAAAACTATACTTCATTAGTGATCACAGCCGTCCAGCCCCCCCCCCCCCCCACCCCGCCCCCTTACGTTTTTTTTTTAGCCAATGCAAATGGGGCTCTCAGGAAGCCTTATTATAGTTGAAAGAGATAATAATAATACTAATAATAGTTATAATAATAATAATAATAATAATAATAATAATAATAATAATAATAATAATGTGCTAAGTAAAAAAATATAATAATATATTTCTAATACCATAAAGTATAAAGCCCAAATGCTTTAAAAGTGAGTCTATATAGCTGTTTAAAGAGAACTGCTTAGGCTCCTAATAAAAGTGCTGAATCACCCATTAAAAAAAATTTGGGGGTGGCGGGGGGGGGGGGGTTTGGAGGGCATGCATGCGCCCAGGTTCCCAGGTTCCGGTGCTAGGAGAGTACTGTTATCTTTATAATAAACCCGGAGGCCTATTCACATAGTTGAATATGTACAATAAACATAATTATATTCAAGCACTCTGTAAACGTTTAATCGGCTACATCTACAGAGAAAAATCGTGTTGTTTGCTATATACAAAGCTGGGCCTATCACAGAAAGGGCAAGGGACTGTTTGTGCCGGAAAATATCGAGCCAACAATCTGCACCCACATTATCTACGCCTATGCCACGATTAAAGACTTTTATATCAGGCCTTTTATTCGCTACGAAGAGTCAGAGCCGTGGCGGGAAGGACTGTAAGTATGCTATGTGTTCCTTGTTTTACAGAGGGGCATGGTGTCCGCCTTGAGTGCTAGAGGTTCCGGGTTCAATCACCAGTAAGAGCTAGGATTTTTCAACGTTTACTTGGACTTCTCTATAGTAATTCCCCCTGGTCGTTGGGTTGAACGACTGAGTGCATTGTTGCCCACTAAAAAATCCCCTTGGCAGTTGGAAATCGAAAAGAGTAGCCAAACGGCTACCCAAAGTATTTCAGGATCCTTCCCGGTGCTACAGAGCCTGTGCACTCAGACTTGAGTTAAAAGAAGAACGGAGCACTAATGGGTTACACCCGTGTGCCATGATGTTGATCCGTTGTTCAAACCGCAAACCTCGTTCAGTTAACATCAGTGCATTTGTTTTATTATCTAAATATGTGTGTGTGTTTGTGCATAGTTATCCGATGGCACTTTACTACTACTAGAAAACTTCCGGCAACATAAATTGCGCACTTCCGGCGACTTCCGCCACGGCTGAGAGTATCCCGCACGCCGCTCACGCAGCGTGGATTAGGGGCTTAACTAGATGGCTGGGACTCACGAGCAGCAGCTACCGCATTTTCTACAGCTGCCTCCATTTTATTTGCTCGTGAGTCCTAGAAATCTAGTTTAGCCTCAATCCACACCGCATGAGTGGCGTATGGGATACACTCGGCGGTGGCAGTATAGTCCCTGGAAGTACGCAATTCGGCTGTGGCGGTAGTCCACTGAAGTGCTCAATTGACACTTGACTGAGGATTTGTTAGGATATATTTTTTGCCTTGATAATTTGGGACCGTTATTCAGAAGATAGCCGACAAATGTAATTATAGTAACATTTCAGCTTGCTTATTTAAGCAGTAATTTCGTTAGCGAAGAAAATTTGAAGACATAAATTATGAAACACATTAGTAAGGTAGTAGCAGCTTTTAATAAACTTGAACATAAAAGGAAACTCTTAAATTGTTTCGCTTTAAAACCAAGTTACGCATTTTTATTTTTCAAATTATTTTAATTTCAATATACGCAAGTAAAAGTTGGAGACCCACTAAAGATATGGAACGAATTTTAAATGCATTCGAAAACAAATGTTTAAGGAAAATTATGACAATATGGATTCGAAAGGATTGAAGAAACGAGAGAAAATGTCTGGGCAACCTCTAGTATCAACAGATATAAGACAGAAAAGATAGGGCTACACTGGACACACCTTGAGAAAAAACTTGCAGAGAATCACAAAACAGGCATTACAATTGGAAATAAAGCCATTATTGAGGCGTGGACGCCCAAACGAAACTCTACGATGAACTTTGATAAGAGTGACCAAAGCAGCAGTACTGGATTATATATATGATATTAAGCTAATACCACAGGATTACACAGAATGGAGGAATGGACTAGTGACATGTAATGGCACAGCAAGATAATGAATACACACACACTCGAGGACCTGCTGAAACTGGCAAAACTGTCGGTAAAAGTACAAAGGAAGGACAAATAGATAAATAACTGAATGACTTTGCAATGAGGATGGTGTAAAATGGCGAAACAAGGCATATCGTTAGAGTACAAGATAATTGTGTTACAGCTTATTGTTGAAAAAAAACAAAACTGTCTTTTAATGGATCAATGCCATTTGAAAGATCAGAAAAGGACAAGTAAATGATATTGCTGATGTATGTTTGTATGTACGTTGTTCCCCACAAAGACATCACACAAGCGATAAACACCTGGTGACACAGAGTGCCACCATGCCGATGAGGATCACCCGTGGAGAGGTCCCGGAAACCCTGTTCAGCCGTTAGGTCATATTTTAGGTTCAGCTTTACTTAGGACCACCAGGAAAAGCCAGGGTGGGGCTTCAAGATAACTAAAAATTGCATCCCACAAGGGTATGACGGTTCTGAACAGAATATTTATGGCGTGTAAGTGACACTAATCGGTAGCATCAAACTCACCAAACTCGCAGTACTAATGAATCTACTGGAGCCGCCAAGTAGAAAAGATTTAATTGAATTAGCTGGGTATTTTTACTTACACAGTTACCTTCTTTGCAGCCCACTACCAGCTAAAGCCGAGACGAGGGGAAAGCGGGGTTGGAGGCGGGGGAGGGGGGGGGGGGGGGGGAAGTATTTACTATTTTTGTGAAGATATTCTGATCATACGAATTATAAACGGAAACCTGTGTAGTTAAATGCGCTGATTGTGCAAAAGCAATGATTGGTCACAATACTAGCTAGATCCACTGCCAAATTTGAAGAGGAGGCGAAGAAAGCTGTAGCAGCCCCCATTGCCTTTTTATAGACGCATTCAAACCGCGTGACAAATGCTTTCTGAGCTTATGATGGTGCTAGATAATATCATAAAAATTTTAAACTAAACAAAGTCACGATATCTCAAAAAGCAGGCGCCTTAAACTAACCTGTAAAAACATTGGAAGCCAGTATCAGTTTCTTGTGTTACACTCTGAATTAAGGAGGTTGTCTCAGAGGAAGCGTTGACACTGTTTAATGGAACTGCGCGCAAAGGTTACAGTTTGACATGGACCGTAACGCTATATTAGAACCGATTTGAAATGATGCAGACTAGATGTACAAACTGACCTATTTGGCAGACATTTCTGCCAAAAGAAACAAAGTAAATATATAATTGCAAGAGCAACTCCCACAGTTTTTCATGCAAACTCGACAATGTTTTTTTGTAAGGAGGAAAATAGATATTGGTTAGAGTTCATTAAAAAAAAAGAAAATATCGATCATTTGCCTCTTAAGAAAAATCTTCTCGAAAAAAAAAAAAACCCCACATCACAGTTAAAATGATCTGTCTGATAACACAAGGTCACTCAACATAAAACGTTGATTAGGCCAATTGTGTTACATGGCTCTGAAATCTGGAACACAGCTACAAGCCTTATTACATATTTGAACAAAGAAGACACAAACAATCTTTTGCACAATTTATTGCCTGGCATATTTCGGTGTATCTCGCCAGGTGCATACTACAGTAACAATAAAGCAAAAAAGTGAATCGTTTATAACTGAAGTTTATATTCAACAACAATCAAACACAACTGCCTGTTTTGACAAGGAATGAGAGGCAGTGTCAGAATCATGTCTGTTTGTTTACATAGTTCAGGGCAGAGGTAACGAATTAAAGAAATCTTAGCGATCTGTCATTGTCTAACGTATGAAAGATGTGAAATGCGTTGTTCTTGGATAAGGCGTATCCAAATTTCAAAAAATGTTGTGCTATTGAGGAGTGATGATCCTTAAGACCAGTATTCTCATTTTGATTTTTTACTTTGCATTGTGTTATTCCGCCCACACTCGAATATGCTCAGCGACTCGTTTCTCCAGGCATCGATCAGTTCTGCCTACATAAGCAAGATTCACAGTTGCATTTGCATTGGTAGATACAATTTAATCTGTTGTACGTCGACACAGGTTGGTTCCTTGTTTCCATAAGTCGGTGGCACGGGGATCGGTTTAAGCCTTTCAATAGACAAAGAGGCGTAGAAAATCTGACCTACTGCTGTTTTTGTCATTAGTTGTGTTTGGAAAGAGACAAAATGTACAGTAAGTTAACATTTCCGCTTCTTCTGTCACTTTGCTTGCTATATGCAATTTAATGGATCATATGTCACGTCTTCATATAGGGCTTGATCTATACTTTATAGACGAATCGGCACTAGGAGGGCGATGTGGTAGGCATCACACAGGCCGCCTTTACTTCCCAGCACTGTACCCGTTACTCACTTAAAGCTGGGTCGACCTGACACACAAAGTTATCACTCAGTAAATGCGGTTGGCAGTTTCTAGAGACGCCAAAGCCAACAGTCGACACCAGACCTGCAGTTTGTAGTTGATGGAAGTAGTGGCCACGGTAAGCTGGCTATAAATTCACGTATTTTATGCTCACAAATCCTAATTTTAAGTTTCGCTCTTCACCCAGGTTTCAACGATTGGTAAACAACAAAGAGATTAATCCGGGATTGAACGTCATGGTTGCAGTTGGGGGAGCAGACGGAGATAAATATATTGAACGTATGCCTGAGAATGAGGCAAACTTGAAATCATTTGCAATTAATGCTGTGAAATTTCTCCGAGAGAAAGAATTTGATGGACTTGAGGTTACATGGGAGCGGCCTACCGTGACACATAAACAAAAATTTTTGATAATACTCAAGGTGTGGTATAATGTTCTTGTATCAACACTGAATAGTTTGTACTGAGCGGACGCATATTTGTCTGTCTGTCTGTCTGTCTGTCTGTCTGTCTGTCTGTCTGTCTGTCTGTCTGTCTGTCTGTCTGTCTGTCTGTCTGTCTGTCTGTCTGTCTGTCTGTCTGTCTGTCTGTCTGTCTGTCTGTCTGTCTGTCTGTCTGTCTGTCTGTCTGTCTGTCTGTCTGTCTGTCTGTCTGTCTGTCTGTCTGTCTGTCTGTCTGTCTGTCTGTCTGTCTGTCTGTCTGTATGATGTGCGTACATATGAATGTACGTACGTAGCTGCATGCAAGCCATATATTGTTTTCGCGTGATATAGTCGAGGGTCTATGCTAAAATGGGGATTAAAGCGCACAAGACGAAGAACGCTCTCGAGAGTAAAATTTAACGCAGTGGTTACTATGTCTGTAGTCATCAGAGGAAAGCTGTATGCTCAGTACACATGAGTGTGTGAAAGTGGATCAAGATTATGTTCTTCTGTTGGTTCTTTTGTTATTTCACAACATCACCACTCGAGATTTGGTAAGGAAATCCCCAGAACGCACCATAGTTTAGGGGTTTAAGGCATTGCCTTAGTTGTAGTCGTTATTCATTTAACACTAGCCGTAACTATAACCCCCTATTCAGTGAGACGTTCTGGGGATTTCCCTATCAAATCCCGACGGTACCGCGGTACGGTGAAAAAAAACCCACAGAAAATAACCCAGTTATCTGCTAAAATATGCGGACTGCATTCCGGCTTTGATGCGGCTCTGTGGCTTTGAGGCTAGTGACTGTGTTGGACAATGTCACATCTCTGAGTTTTCCACCGTGGATGGTTTATCCAAGAAATCATTCCTCATACACTAGTGGGGGAAAAATTATTGTTAAATGTCGACTTTTCAGAATCGACATGAGAGCACTCGGGACAATGCCATAAGCGCTTCTTTTCCTGTTTTCAGCAGCAAACGAAGGGTTCGAATTCCAGTGGCACCAGCAACTGTATGATTTTATGTCCGTCTCGCCTTTCCCTTAGGTGTTGAGCATCGGATCCCTTGATAACTCCTAGAAGCGCCATTCTCCTTAGCTTTTTGTGCCTTCCTACTGCTCACTGTCTCTAACACACACACACACAAATCCAACATTTAGTTTGTTGCACAATAATCCACCAACAAATGGTGTAGAACCAACCAGTCTGTCTGTTCGTTTCCCAAAACATCGCAACTCCAAAGGACGCTAACCAGCCGCTTACTACTCACCACCTGATCTTCCTGACGACAGCCAGGGGTGCATATAATCAACCTTCATTGTAGAGACGCATAAATATATATATTCAAAATTAGTGAATGCATTTAACAGTTATCGACTGAATTTGCTGCATTGTGTTTTTCTTACAGTCTATTTGATAATATATTTTCTAACTGTGTCTAGGATTGTTAAGTTCTCACAGGTGTCACTTTGACGTCGGTTATCTTTGAAAATGTCTCTGTAACATTGGTAGCACGATGGTGGTTTGGATATTCTGTTTATAATTTGTTTCTTGGCACTCATACTTCACTTGATATATAAGTCCACTGGCTCGCTGACATCTTTTTTTCCGACCTACGAATGTCGCTGTTTAAATTCTTTCACTTGCTTCAGATAAGTACCATCATTTAACCCCATGTGTAGAGGACTAGGAAGTGTGCTGACCTGGAATACTTCAGTTGTAGTAGTAACTGTTTTCATGTTATATCTTGTGCATGTTGAACACAGCCTGTTCAAATGTTCTTGCATCTACTCCCCACATTGTAAAAAAGACACTGATCGTCTGCAAGTAGTAGCTCGTCTGTGCTCACCAGTTGTTTGGTTTTTTTTTTTTTTTTTTTGGCACCAAACGTCTACTATTAACTTTTTCTAAGAAGCCCTATGCACTTTATTTGCCTCTTGACACTGAACCGTTTGTCTAAATGATCAAATTCTCTGAGCGAGCATTATCATGAATTGCTGAATTTCCATCTCTATGTCACATGCTGGCCAGTCTCTGCACTCACGGCTCAGTGTGACTATGACCCCACACAAGTCTGACTGTTCAGGCGGCACTTTGACCCACTCCTCTCCTCGCCTAATGTTCTCAAGGATGCAAACCTGTCTAATTGTGTGTTCTGCCTGAGCCATCCATGACTTCCATCTTATCAGCCGCTGACCCTTAACTGCACCCAGAGGTTCATGCAAAGGGTGGTCTGTGTCTGCAGCTACCCTAAGATATGGCTTCACCTGCAGCACCTTTTGCCTACCTGCAACAGTCGGCAAACCAAGGATGTATCGCATACACACCACTGGGGTGTCTCTGGTGTAACCAAGAATGACCCGCATTGCTGCTTTCTGTATGCGCTCTAGTTTGTAGGAAAGAATCACTTTCCATAAACCAGGAAAGCTGACACGTAACAGCACTGGATGTTTAGAGTCAAAAGATGGCGACCTATTAATGGGACATAGTAATATAATTACCAGATGGACAGAGTATTAAGGAGAATTTTATGATGATAATAGACCAGATGTAGAACTGCAGACCAACAATGATGGTCCACTAAATATGACTGCAGAAGTTGAGAATGCATTGCATCATATGAAGAAAGGATGTGTACTGTCACCTGATTTATTTTCACTATACAGTGAATATATAATTAGATTTTTAATTGATATGCCCAGAATTGTGGTTGGTGTAAACAACATAAACAATTTAGGTTATGCTGATGACACAGTCTTGATAGCATCAAGTCAGAAAGAACTACAGGAAATGATAGATATTGTGGTGGTAGAAAGTGGAAGAATGGGCCTCAGTTTGAATAATGGGAAGACAGGGGTAATGGTGGTCTCAAAGATAATCAGTAGGCAGGCCAAACAATTGCTTTGGGCCTCAAAGAATACCTAAAATACATTGTACAGCCAAAAAGAGCAACCAATATGTTTTGACAGAGGCGGGAGCTCGAAAACAACTAATCACATATATCAGAAGGTGACAGTCATTATTTTTCGGCCATGTTATAAGAAGAGGGAAAATAGAACATGTTGTGAACACTGGAAAGATCTGCGGAAGGAGAGATAGAGGAAGATTCCTGAGATCTTGTTGCATGGCATAGGGGTGTGTCAGCCCACGAACTAATACATGCTGCAGGAGATAGCGTATTGGGGAGAGTCATGATCGCCCACGCTAGTCGTCAAGGCACCTGATGATGATGATGAAGGTAGGAACCTAAGAAAGTATGATGCGTTCCTTGTGACTGAAAGAGTTAAGCCAGTAAACATAAAAGGAGTAATAATAATGTGCTGAATGGGAAATGATTACACAAATATAATTCCAGTGTTTTGAATAAACACTTTTTTTAAATCTACAAATAATAGAATGTCTTTCCATCAGGGAGAGAGGGTGGTTGGGGCGGTCTGGAGACTTTCCCAATTACTGATACCGGGGGGGGGGGAAGGGGGGGGGGGGCTGAGGAACACGGTCCTACGCCACACTCTGAAAATATCCACATGTATGGGAGAATTTGAACCGTCTGAGCAGTCAGGACTACCCTGATCCAGACAACTGTCTCAGCAGGCAGGTCCACCACCACCATGCCATCACAGGAAACTAACGATAACAGCAAAATGGATCTTTCTTTTCCAAAGCACTTGAGAGAAGCGTTTGACCAGGAAGCGACGCAAAGTGGCAAGACTCGCCTTATTCTCACAGTAAGCATGCCAGCAGGAAAGGAAAAAATCGATGTATACGGAAGGGATCTATTGACCATTGAAAGGTAAGTTTATATATGTACACATGTGTACGTACACATACAGATATACATGTATTAGCATACATACATATACAATATAATACATAGTGGTACCTTCGGTGGCTAACGCCTTCAGTCTCGAACACAATTTCCGAACAAATGTAGACTCTATTTGAGAACAATGACTCGGCTCCATGAACACACAAATGTGGCTTTTTATCCTGTAACACTCAAAAATGTTGAAAGTCTAAGTGACATTGGGGGTAAAACGCCTAAGTGTATTACAGTAGAAACAAAAGGAAATAATCAATAAACATGACAATGTTGTTCGTATTTCTTATCTCACCAAGTTAATGCGTCATGACTAAATCTACAATCTGTACTAACTTAAAGAGAAGTCGCCGTGGCGCTGGCGTTTCGATCGGAAGGTCATGGGTTCGCTTCCTGAGGAAGCCTGACTTTTTGTTTTTCTTTCAAAAAGGACCTCGAATTCCAGGTCGACACAGCCTTGAGTGGGTAGAAGGTGCAGTCCTAAGAAGTAAAGGCGGCCGGTGTGATGCTGACCACATTCCCCACCAAGTGTCGATTGGTCAATAAAAAATATAGGTCTAGTCATATATTCCCAATACGCCTTAAGGCGTGGAAAAAGGACCTCTAATTATTATTTTAAATGATAAAGAGGCACCGAAGGCGGCTGATGTGGCTAAAGGAAAGACTGTGTTAACGAAGCCTATGTCTTACGTGTTAGAATATATATATATATATATATATATATATATATATATATATATATAAAACATCACTGTTAGTTTGGACAGATAAAATGCAGCTTGCATGAATGAATTACTTTTACGCGTTGAATTACAAAACACCGTACGCACGTAATGCTAGCGTTGATGAATTCAAAGAAAGTAGAGGTTGGCTCGAGAAATGCTGTCGATGACCTGGAATTCATAGCGCTGTTTAGGAATAAAGAGGCAGCCAGAAAGTGACTTCGAAAGCTACATGCTGCATCAAGATTTCAATGTCGATGAAATCGGACTTAGTGGGAGTGTTGTGTGGGTGTGGAGGGTGGGGCGGGGAGGGGTTGTTGCTAATAAGGACCTACACATAACCCAAGAAGAAAGGTTACTGCCTGGCCACCTACTAGTGAAGGACAGTCTTACACTTCAATTGTGCGGTAATGGAAGTGGTGGTTGTAAGATAACAAGTTTTTTTTTTTTTTTTTTTTAGTTATAAGCTAGTTGCGTATCCATTACAGGACTTTGCACAACCAACCTCAGCACATTTGGGCTGTTGTAGCTTCTTCTATACAAATTTTACGTTCAGCATTTTGCTATTTCTTACTAAAAGGTCGGCTGTCGATACCACTATCGAAACCAACTCAACACGAGAAATCGCATGCAGCCGGGCTTGAACCCGGCACCCCGGCATTGCGACGCGTTCGCAACGATAAGACTCTTTTTTTGTTTGCCACTCTGAAAATCCGCGCACTTTTAATGCAATAAAGTGCAAAGGGATAAAGTGCCGGTATTGTGAGGAACGAATAACAAGGCTTGGGTAATAAGACTGCTTTTCTATAGAGCGGCTGACTAAGGTTTTTACGACAACTGTTTAGAAATACTTTGAGCAAAACAGTTTACCCCATAAGTGTCTGCTGGTTATAGACAATGCTCCTGCATATCCTCTATGTATGGAAGAAGAATGTGATGATGAAAACGACTTTATAAAAGTCCGATCGCTGTCTCCTTACACCACTCCTCTCATACGGCTCATGATTCGATTTGAACTGATTCAAGAATCGACATCACAGCAGTAGGGACATTTCCATAAGCGCTCCGTCCCCATCTTCAGTGGCCAGGGCAGAGTTTCAATAACAATGGTGCCGGTAGGAGTCAGATTATATGATTCCGCCTTGCCTTTTCTCTGCGTCAAGACACAGCCAGATCTCCTCGTCACTCACCTGTGCATTACCATTACTCTCACCAGACTTTGATGATCTATTTTCTGTCTACAATATGCACGTGCTCCTGAAAGGCCCTAACCATGTCTGCCTTATCAAGCATCACTATTCCACCAAATTATGCAGATCCAGCTAATCTGTACGCCTGTTAAATTCCCAACACACCGGCTAAATGTGATTATGACTCTCCACGAGTCTGACTGTTCAGCTGGCACTCTAACCCATTTATCTCCTCACAGAATGGTCTCCAGGATGCAAGCCTGTCTGATCGTGTCCTCTGGCTGAGCCATCCATGGCTTCCCTCTTATTAGTAGCAGGCCCTTAACTGCATCCAGCGCGTCGTGTTAAAGGTTATCAGTGTTTGCAACTACTGCTAGTATGACTCCGCCTGCAGCACTTTGAGCCTACCTGCAACAGTCGGCAAATACAATATTGTTATCGCATATGCACTGCTGGTGTCTCTCCGGTAATCTCAAAATGACTCGTTTTGCATGCGCTCTGGTTAAATCAGTTAACTGCAAGGCTGAGCTGGCTTATTCCATAATCATTCACTGAGAGGACCGAGTGCTGATATAGTGTGAAAAGCATTCTCTACTCTATGTCTATGCATCAATGTGTCCTTTTTGGAATCTTATCAAATCCCTCTCCACATAGTCCTTGAAGGACAGGCTCCTGTCAAACGTGATTCCCAGATACTTCGGTGTGTCTGTTGACCTTTCTGCTATATATCGTGAGACTTGGGACATCAGCTCTAATAATCCTGTTGTCTATAAAACACCATAAAACACACCTTTTCTGGGTAACAACCAGCAGCATGACGATGGAGGTGATGGCAGTGACACAAGCGCTTGCCTGGCTTGAAACACAAAAATACACCCGCGTGTGTATACTCAGTGATTCAATGAGTATAATCCGGAGGGTTCAGGCAGGTTCAGTGCGAAGACAATGGCTTGAATCATTACAGAAGTCCACTGTCCGTGGAGTCACCTTTATTTTTGTTCCGGGACACGCAGGCGTCGATGGAAATGAAAGAGCTGACAGGTTGGCTGGATCCGCTATAACTACCGACGGTCAGCCTATGGATCATGCTGATATTATCAATGCCCTCAGAGAAATGGGAAGGATAGACGACTTTGGTGGCAGTGAATCCACATCACTCGCCAGAATGGCAGACTTGGGAATTAAGATCGGCACAGCAAAAAACGAGACGCACACCAGCTACGCCAGAAGACTTGTTAATCAACATAGAACTGGTACTATTAGCCATCGGACGTTGGGGTTCATACTGAGGGGAGGATCTGAGCACCTATGGACATGTCCGGAGTGCAATGAGGATAACCCAACTAACTAACTAACTAACTAACTAACTAACTAACTAACTAACTAACTAACTAACTAACCTTTTCTGGGTAGACATCAGCACTCAGTTGTGTACACCAGTAAATAACTTTGTCTATTGTCGCCAGTAGCTCATAGGCGGGTTGTACCTCATCTCGTCCCTGCCTAAAAGCAAGAATATCATCTCCAAATGTCAGTATCATTCATACCCCTTGGGCTTCTAGGCTCACAATCATGCTTTTCTACACGTTATAGAGCACAGGTGAGATGGTGGATCCATGTGGCAGTCCCGGGTCTACAATAGGTGGCTCAGAGGTCCATGAACGCAGACGGAGAGACGCCTAATGGGAATACAGGACAGCTGTTATCCAATTCACCAACCAGGGACTGACGCCCTTAATCGTTAGTGCAGCCATCAAAATGTATCTAACTGTTATGTACGCATCCTCGAAATCAAGAGCTGCCGCCATCGTTTTCTGTTTTTTGTGGAACACTTCACAAACATCAAAGGCAAAAATGGTTGCATTTGACAAATATATATTTTTCAGGCCTGTAGCTCCCGAGACTTTCGGGAAAGGCTTCCATCTTTCCAAAAATCCTTACAACGTGATAGCGACTATCTTTTCTCAGACTTTCATAAATGCATTCTGTAAGGTGATGATTCTAAAGCCACTAAGCTGGTAATGATCCTTGCATGGTTTGGGAGGTGAGATTAGATGGCTGTGCAAAAATTCCTGAGGTATTGATGTTGCCCTAATGCTCTGGTTAAAGCAGTCGCTTATCTCACATGGTCTACATTGCTCAGTGTCTTCATGCGGCCATACTTAACCACATCAGGCCCTGGTGCAATGTCCTATGCCTTTTTTTTTTTTTTTTTTTATTCCAAGGATGTTTAATATCTTCAACTCGTATGATGTCTTCACAAAGCATAACTTTCTACTGCCAAATTAATTCTCTGTAACTGCATCCCTGATGTCTGCGATATAAATCTCTGGAAAACCCGCTTCACTCTTCTAGCCCATAAATCAGCAAGTAATTTCTAACTTCAAGAAGTTTAAAAAAAAAAAAAAAAATCCCTTCCCCCAAGCTTTTCCAGGTGACTAACGAACAACACGACGTGATTTTTGAAAAGATCATTCTCATATCCCCCACTGCCTATAGGAATAAACTCACAGGGAGCAAGTACAGCAGGGATCTACCAGTCGTCAGTAGAAATTATCCTCGTCGACACGCGTTTCGGCCCAATATTCCTAGACGCATTCGGAGGTGGGCCCTCCTGAGTTCATGAAGCTCAGGGCTGGTTCCCTGCTGCACGGGAATACCGGATGGTGTTTTACTTTCGGCCAGAGACAAGACGACTTGGTGGTTTCGCAGAAGGTACTGTGAGATAAGAAGCCGCCACGGCAGCCTAATTAAAGCAGTCAGCATGCCTGGACGACCGAGCGACAAGCTTACTTTGGTTTACCAGACACATGTTAGACTTTTATTAGCAGTTGGCAGAGCAACACTGGCAGACAATTCGGACACGATGGACTTTCAAAGGGATGAGAAACTCTTTTCCAATAGACACCCGGACCAGCTCACCGAGGCCCGTCCCCTACGTTGTTGCGCTGCGTCCAAAGCCAGCTAGAGGCCCTTTCGGCTGCCTCTCCCAGTTTTTTGAGTGTTCGTTTCCGTTCATTACCGCGCAATCCTAGTTCTTTCACCACATTGTAGAGCGAAGTGGAAACCAGGCCTCTCGCTCCCACTTCGACGGCAAAAACCCGTACTGTGTAAGCCTCGTTTCTCCTCAGACCGGCTGCTAAATCACTGTACATCTCGAGCTTGTACAAATGATTCTTCTCCATACGCGACTCAAACGGGACCGTCAGCTCGATCAGGATGAGCTGCCGTTTTTGCACAGAATGGAGAACGATGTCCGGTCGCAGGCCGGTCTTACGGATCAACTCGGGGTACCGTTCATGGCCTGGCAGATCAACCGCCAGTAACCAGTCCCTCGCAGAGTCTAGCACAGATGGAGCGAATGCGTTTTGGTTGACCTTACCTTTTGGAACCTGACCAGCCTTGAGGAAACGAATGGGGACGATGCTAGAACTGGCTCTGGCATTAGCCCTCATTCTAGTCTGGTCGACAACGGCTGCTAACTCTTTTAGCACCTTGTTGTGTCGCCAGGTATAACGGCCTTGACCTAGGGCTTTCCTACACGCGGACAGGACGTGCTCAAGAGTTTGCTTCGATTTACACAACGGGCAGGTCGGATCGTTGGTCGCAGACCATTTAACCATGTTAACACCGGACGGTAATACATCGTACGCCGAACGAACGATAAAGCTCAGTCGCAGCGGGGTCATCCGCCAGATCTCACCCCCATGTGAGTATTCTTGGCAATGCGCTCTCCAGGCTGACCCAATGGCCCTGCTGCGACTGCTGGGCTGCTTTCTGGACCCGAACCTCGTTTTCGTTGTCCCTCACTGTGTGTATTACCATGTCTCGGCGCTCTTTGGCTGAGGCCTTTGACCACCAATTGACCTTTCCGTGCCCTAGGCCTCGACGGTCGGTTTGTGTGTATCCCATTATCTCTCTCAATTTTAGTGCATTCTGGGCAGATTCTATCGCATCGAGGACTCTCCACTTGGTTCCAGTCTTTAGAGCGGGCTGGACAGCGATGACATTTGGGTCTGAAGACTCGCACAAAAGCATGGCGAGTCTTACCTTGCCGACTTTAAACTCTTCGGTTATTGACTTGAACGGAAGTACCAGCTTAGCCTGTTTGCAATACAGAGCCACGTCGGTCAGACAAGGCGGTGCACCAATCCACTTTCTCAAGGCTGTGTTGATTTTTTTCTCCATGGCTTCCACTGCAGTCATCGTCACCTCGTAGACTAACAGTGGCCATAGGAGCTTTGGAATCAACATGAATTGGACACACCATACCTTGAATTTTCCGATCAGCCTGCATCGCTCGATCGCGAGCAGGCCTGTAGCCAGTGACTCGTGTATTCGCCGGACCTCCGCTCTATCAGATAACTTCGAATCGTAAACTCGACCGAGACTCTTCACCGGTTCCTCCAGAACCGTAGGGATCTTGTTCCTAAACATTACCGTCAAGGCATAGATCATTGTCTCTACCCATTGGTAAGAGTGTGTGCTGGCGGAGCTGACGGACAGCCACAGACAAGAACTCAAAACACAGTTGCAATGTAACAGATTTAAAAAAGGAGCACTTAGGATAGGAGGGGAAGAGGTGGTTCATGTTTCAAATGATACAAATCAAATAAATTCGAAGCAACTAGAGGGACCTTTCCCCTTTACCCACCTTTCACTTGAGTGCTGAGTGTCGGACAGACCCCTTAGTAACTCCCAGCGGCGTCATTCTACTCAGATCGTTATGATCTCTTTGTCGTTCTGTACTGTTCACTAGCTTCTAGTCTAGCTTGTCACACACCGATTCACCAATACACCAACATGACTGTAGAAAATAGCGAAAGGACACCAACTACCCTGGCCCTCTGACGCGATGCTTGACACTTAACACAGAGCATACATGTCTCCAACTTTCCTAATATGCTCTGTGAGTCCGTTACAATTACGACATGTGTTTACACCTGACTCGCAAGCCAATAGAAAGCAGCATTGTCAGCCTCCACCTCCAGTCTCAAAGTAGAAGTTCTGATGTCATATGCCAGGCTTTGTTGCACTAAGAGAGGTCCGTTCGCTTTTGCTATGAACCCCTATGCACGTCTGCCTCTCAACGCAGAGCCCTCTGTATAGATGATTACATCACTTGGTCGGGAATTGTCATGAATCATTGGTTCAACTTCTGATTCTGCAACACCAGCTGTCCAGTCGCTGCACTCACGGCCTAAAGTGATTGGAACTCTACATGTCTGATTCTTGCTCGGACACTTGTGTACTCAAATTCCTTTACCTGCTTTTACTTAACTGATGCTCATTAATTTTAATTTTGCTTTTTCTTTTTTTTTTTTTTCTGGAGAAAGTCATCACTCCTAAATCGTCCACGATGTTCTTCGTATCATAGTCGTCGCATGTTGTTGGTGCTTTGCTTACCTGATCATCAGCGAAAAGCATTTCATTTAGTAATAACTCAGTGTTGTCCATTAGCTGGTGTTAGCTGATTTGCAAATTTGGTCGACGTATTTGGTGACAGTAAAACAGGTAAAGGTAAAGTTGGGAGATGTGAACCAGCGTCATTGCACAAGGTTTTAAACCATAAGGGCTCTGCCACCAGTTGGGACAGCTGATAAATTGTCTGCCTGTGTCGCCGTCCGCACGCTACAGCGACGTTCCTCCATTTACCCCAGAGTGTTAACTCTGGTACACATTGTCTAAAAGCTGGGTGAACCCCGAGTCGCAGCTGGATTTGAAAGCGAGTCTCCTATCGACTGCGCTAACGCGGCCATGGCAGTAGTGGTGATAAAACACACCTCTGCCTTACTTGACGTGAAACTTCTCTGTAATTTTGGTTTGTTCTAAATGCGCATTGACTGTTCTCAGCTATTATTGCCAAAGTGTCACAGGGCATTTATCAAACATGTCCAAGTCATCTCCATCTTTTTCTTTTGATAGTGTATGTTCTTTTGTAAGAAATGTTAATATTGGGTTACCTAGTGGTGACGAAAAAACTGGCTGTCATTTAAGTGGGTCACTACTTCGGGGTACATTCACATAAGCGTCTAACTGAAAATCTCTGGGTATTTTCGTTTTTTCTTTTATTTGACATCTCGGGGACTATGAGATTTTAGATATTTCCTAGGCAAAATCCAGCAAACGTCCCATATTCTAGGGGTGTTATCACATGAATTCGTTCGGTTTTGTAGGTGTCAAGAAGTGTGTGCATTGGGTCGACAAACTGTCTTCCAAACGAGAAAGCGCAGCATTCTTTTCTTTGAACGCCTGCACAACTAACTTTCAAACTTTTTTTTTTGACGTCTATCATCATTTTCAGTATGCTATTTTCGTTGGTTCGTGTGATCAGCACTGTTTGTTTATCTTGCCTACTCGTCCAGTGTTGATCAGTCGTTTCATTCGTTCATTTTGTATGTAAACACTTCACTTACATATCTCAGGCAGATCGAAAATGGGAACCATGTTATGATTTACAACAGTGGTTTCCTTATGGGGCCGCCGAAACGAATTTAAACTTTCCTTGATGTTATAGTTTTAGTTTTTTTTATCATTCCTTAGCCATGTTTTTCCTGATTAGAATACGGATTACATTTTCAATCCTAATTTAAAATGTGTAGTATAACTATTAAGAAGTATGATGTGGGGTGCCCGAGTCATATCTTATTAGAAACCCCTGGTATATAAAGTAACCCACCATAGTGGGTCCCCGTCCCCTCGCCCAATCTTAATTTTTTGTTTATGTTCTCCATACCTGGGCTATTCAATCGGCACTTCGCAGGGCAAATCTGGTGGATCGTATGCCAATTTTATTGTACTAATTATCTTTCTATGTTGGGGTTCGGGCCTTTAGCCCACGATGATCTCCATTTTCCTATATCTTGACCACTGTGTAAATTTATGTGAATAGCTCTGCTCTAGATCATGTTCTACCTTCCAGCGTCAGGGTTTAGATTAAGGTTAACGAGCGTCAGTCACTTCGTCTGTAATACTGTGGGATCCTGTGTACTTAGTAGGTTGTAAGACATGGAAAACATCATTTACCATGACATTTGTATCTGTGAGCTGAGCTTCGGTGTCATTTACTTCCCCAGAACCGTGGACTTCATGTCTGTCAGGACGTACGACTTCCATGGAAGCTGGGAGTCACACACTGGCTTGAATTCTCCTCTATACGAGGCTAATTACGAAAGTGTCGAAAATAGACAGCTAAACATGGTAATGAGATCCACAGATATTTCTGGCTGTTTGTCGAGTAATTATATTAAATTTGTGTGTGTGTGTGTATGTGTGTGTGTGTGTGTGTGCGTGCGTGTGTGTTTGGTCATTTTTTCAAATAAGAGGTTCGCTGTAATTGTTTTTACACGCACGCATTTCGTTGCGAATGTTACGGGATAAGGTGTTAGTCTCTTCCAGGATGCGACTTTGGCGCCACTGTCCGAAAGCCACCGAAAAATCTTTCTCTGGTCCATCCGCCACCAGAATCAAACCTTGGTACCTCGAGGATTGTGAAACGGGTTCAGTAGTATTTAAGCCACATAAATGTTTAGTAAATATACCTATCGACAACCCGAGCCTCTTAACTTGCTGCTAGTTAAAGTCACTAAAAGACCTCCTAATACGTTTTTAAGCTTCTTAGAGCATATGGCGCCAGCACAGCTAAAAACATTGGCATCTACACATAACAATTTCAAATACTTCCATCCCCGCTGCCTGCTTCTTTGCATGCGTTGTCAATATACATTATGAAAATTGGGGGCACAGTAATTGGTACAGGATGGGTTATATCATCATCACCATCATTACGTCTGCCGCCTTTATTTCTCAAATATTTTATCTAACCGTGTGAAACTTAGTCGCCTTGGGAGACAGGAAGTTTAATTTTCGTTAAGAATTGAAACTGGTGAACACGAAGCGAACTAGTAGTGCTTCCTTGCGACCGATATGATTAGTATTCCCTTTTTTAAATGCAAGTTTTACTCATTATTTACCCGTGTGGTTTCCGGGGCCCCATTGTTGAGGAAAACAAGAATAGACTCACTGCCTGCAAAAAAGCATGTAATAAGTGTCGACTAAGTCAGAGTGCATCTGCCTGAGAAGAAATGAAACCAATAGTCTGCATGCAAATGGGTCAGACCTGTGAAACGGATGTGCCCACAACTCTCAGTTTCTGGAACAGGACTAGAGTTCAGAAGAGGACGAACAACCAGAACTTTTCACATTTAATTGAAGTCGTCACAGAAGCTACCTTGCTTGCATGCATTTTTCCTCTAGGGGCTGCTACCTAAGGTTTAACAACCTGAGATTAACATATCTCATTCTGAATGACAAATACGTTATTTTCTGGAATCCTCTTTCAATCTTTAAAAACAAGTATAATAGAGGAATTCCTAATGGTTACGACAGAATTGTGTAAACTGCGGTCTTTTGGTAGTAAGGGTATTGGTACAATGAGACTAACCTCCTTTCCCATTGATACCTCAATCTGGTGTGGCGTCTGTAGTATGTCGGAGGGGTTTCAGGCGTAGTGAGTCGTATTTTACTCCTTGTTGTCAGCGGCCAGCGATATCGCGTCTTCTTTGCTGTGACCGCCTTTACCCGTACCAAAACATATACAAATGTGCCTAACTATAACACCCTACTCCTTAGCCACAGACTATGGCTCACGACTGTATGCAGCCTCTATTATAAGCTGCATACAGTCGTGCGACCTAGCATGCACCCTTGCGACATAGTAGAGGCCTACACCAGATCGAGGCATCATAGGAAGGGAGATTACTCTCATTGTTAGGTCTCTTAACGTGACCAAAAACCAGAATTATATTACTACGACGCTTGCTAGGCGTCCTAAAAATATGATCACACATTTCCGCCGAGCTGGCTTTTTAATCTAAGCTCTAAGGTTGATCGATTCTTAGAGTGATCACAGAAAGCGTTTTGATCAGCAAGTCTTCTTCTTCTTCTTCTTCTTCTTCTTCTTCTTCTTCTTCTTCTTCTTCTTCTTCTTCTTCTTCTTCTTCTTCTTCTTCTTCTTCTTCTTCTTCTTCTTCTTCTTCTTCTTCTTCTTCTTCTTCTTCTTCGTCGTCGTCGTCGTCTTCTTCTTCTTCTTCTTCTTCTTCTTCTTCTTCTTCTTCTTCTTCTTCTTCTTCTTCTTCTTCTTCTTCTTCTTCTTCTTCTTCTTCTTCTTCTTCTTCTTCTTCTTCTTCTTCTTCTTCTTCTTCTTCTTCTTCTTCTTCTTCTTCTTCTTCTTCTTTTTCTTCTACTTCTTCTTCTTCTTCTTCTTCTTCTTCTTCTTCTTCTTCTTCTTCTTCTTCTTCTTCTTCTTCTTCTTCTTCTTCTTCTTCTTCTTCTTCTTCTTCTTCTTCTTCTTCTTCTTCTTCTTCTTCTTCTTCTTCTTCTTCTTCTTCTTCTTCTTCTTCTTCTTCTTCTTTTTCGCGTTTACCAGATGTAAACTTCAGCATAAAGTTCGGTGTGTTTGTCCACTGCCGGACTTTAGTCTTATTCCAGAACCTGACTGTCGCGCGCACCTCCATTTTATAGATCTGACCGATGTGTATGCACACTCTTGGTTCCCTGCCTCGCAGGCAGAGGTACCGCGACTTAGAAGGATGCTCCCAATTAGTCGACTCCTACGACATGCTCTTGGGAAAGAAGCAATTGTTTATTCTGGTTTTCCTCCCAAAAATGAGTTCCTGGGATCCAAACGGAATGATAAAAAAAGTGATATTAAATATATGACCGCTTTTCTTTGGTCATGCGACGAGGGGGGGGGGGGGGGGGAAGCTTTGAAGAATATTGTGTCGACTGGGAAGATCAACGGTAGATGAGGGATAGGCATACCGGGAGAGAGAGAGAGATGATGATGACAGATGATTAAACGGTGGCACGGAGGGATCTTTTCGATGGATCTGATCCAGAGAACAAGGGACCGAGATTTGTGGAGATAAATGAACTCCTTCGCTAGTCAGCAGGGCACTTGACTTTTACGACGACCTAGTGCTAATTGTTCAGTATAAATGTATATACTAAGAAGAAACTCCACAGGGGAGCATGCACAGCAGGATTCTACCAATCGTCAGTAGAAGTAATCTCTCGTCGCCAAATGTTTCCTAGACATTTTCAGAGAGTGAGCCCACCTGAGTTCATGAGGCTCGGGGTTTGTTTCTCCTGCTTCACGTATTACCGGATGTTATCGGACAGGGACAAGACGAATTGGTGACTTTGCAAAAGGTACTGTGAGATATGAAGTCGTTGCGGTAGCTTAATTAAAGCAGTCTGCTTACATGGACGACCAAGTGGCAAGCTTACGTTTGGTTTACTGGACACATGTTGGACTTTGTTGGCAGGGAGACACTGGCAGACAATTCGGATATGATATACCTCGCTCTGAAAATTGTCTGTTTTACCTTAGCTTCAACTGTATCTTTATCTAACGTAAGCACGTTTCTACTGTCGAAGGCAAGATCTTTAACTCTATCCCCAGGATTGGGTTGGTAGATACTACTTCTCTATGGGAGTGTCAAAACGTAATATGAACCTTGGAATTCCCACCTACGCCAGATCGTACACTTTACAAGACCCGACTAACAATGCAGTCTATGCTCAAGTCACTGGCCCTGGTAAGCCTGGCCAGTTTACTGGGACACCAGGTCTTTTAGCGTACTACGAGGTGAGTGTAAGCGTTAAAAGTGGCTAGTTTACTGGGTTACCAAGCCTTTTAGCGTACCATGAGATGAATGTAAGCATTACAAGTGGCCAGTTTACTAGGTCAGTGGATCTTTTAGGGTTATTTTAGGTGGGTATAAGCGTTAAAAATGGCCAGTTTACAGGGACACTGTTTTTTTTTTAGAGTACTATGAGATGAGTATAAGCGTTAACAACGGCCAGTTTACAGGGACACCAGGTTTTCTAGATTACTGTCAGGAGAATGTAAGTATTAAACCTAGCCAGTTTACTGGGTCAGAGGGTCTATTAGAGTAATAAGCGGTCAGTATTGCGAGCTATTTCTTCTTCTTAAACGATCTCTGGACATGCGATTAATCCACCGTGGATTATAAACTGGTATGTCTTGTCAGGATTTCTTAGCTTTCCTCAAAGCTTAGTTGCCAGGTCTAGCGGGCGTGGCCACATGTTGCTTGGCAGCTCTGCCAGCAGAGAACAATCGTGCAAGACATGTTGTGAGGGTCTGTTCAGAACGAAGACACTGGGTCACTGGCAGAGAGCGGTTTGGCTCACACCTAATTTATATTGTTGTTTGTTGAGTCTCCAGTGCCCAGTGAGTATACGAAGAACTAAGACTTGGTATGTTATGTTTAGGTGTTTGCGGAAGTTTATTTCATTTTTTTTTTAACCTGTGTTTGTTTTGGAGTCTGTTTCTAATTGTCTGTAAATGGGAGTTTTGTCTTGTAGAAAAGATAGCTTATGTTAGCTTTGCTGTTTACGGCTGCCTACCTACCTACGTTAGCTAAAGCGCCAGCGTTTTCATTATTACCCAAGCGTGCTGTTTTATCTAGGTTACTGAAAGCACTAGTTATTAGCACACTGTGAGGTGACTGACCGTGATAAACAGACCAGTGTGTTAGGAGAACTGGTCTTGTATGTGACTGAGGTCACTGGCAGTGGTTTGTTTGCTGAAAGATATAGTTTTTTTTTTTTTTATTCTAGGATGTAAGTGCTGGGAAACCTGGGTAATTACAGTAATAACTGTAAAATGAATGTGTACACAAAACTAAAGTATTGGAAAAAACGAAAACATTCTGAAGTGTACGAACAACAATCCTTTTCAGCCGGAGTTTGCGATCTGTGAACATGAAGAAGAAGAAAATTATTATTTCAAGATAGTATGCAATAAGTGTCGAGTGATGTTGAATCTAGATAGTTAAACCTAATAATTGCTCTCTCTCTCTCTCTCTCTCTCTCTCTCTCTCTCTCTCTCTCTCTCTCTCTCTCTCTCTCTCTCTCTGCTTTCTCTTATTGTCTCTCTCTTTCTCCCTCTCCTTTCCTCCTTCCCTTTCCACCTCTGTGTGTGTTTGTATATATCGTGAATTTCAGTCATTATGTTCTTCTAACTATTTACATATTAGTATTAGCATTTCAAGCGTCGTCGTGACGTTGGCGGCTAGACTCCCGCCTGCGGATCGGAAGGTAATGGGTCCCAGTCCTGACAGAGGCTGACATTTTTCAGAAATGACCTCGACTTCCAGGCCTACCGAACTCTGAGTGGGTACCAGGTACAGCCATGGGAAGTAAAAGCGGTCGGTGGGATAATGACCGCATCACCCACCAAGTGTCGACTGGTCTATAAAAATATAGGTCTAGCCCTATATGCCCAATACCCCTAAAGGCGCGGAAAAGAGGACCTTATAACAATTTTTAGGAAAGGGGGTTAACACAGTAACATGTCGAAATGTGTGTATCTAGCTCTGTGAAAGTCACATACTCATGATGTCTCGTCATCCTGCATGCACTCGACTACATGACAGGTGTGCGACTTCCTAACTCTCGGGGCCCAAGTAGTTGATGTTCCTGAACAGAGGGTTCCATATGCCCACGGGGAAGATCAGTGGGTCAGCTTCGAGAGCCTGGACAGTGTGATCGAAAAAGTGAGTTACTGATTCGTGATTGTTTAAACACCCATACCTAACTGTTGAAATTACTAAATGGACACAACAGGTGTCTTCTCATCTTCTAAAGGAGTCCCGCTTCGACAAGGGGTTCGGACAGTTTTATCTTACTAACAAGAGGGCTGCCTGGTCCCGAGGCATGGTGACCGTTCTCGAGTTCCTGGTTCAATCCCCGGTAAAGGCTGGGATTTTTTTTTACGTGGACTTAGACTTCTATACTGTTCCAAAAAACAAAAAAACAAAAAATACCCAAACAAAACACATAGTTACTGACATTTAAAAAAACATACGTACAAATTTGACATTCCGAATCTTTGGACTGCAGTAAGTGAAAATATTCAAATTTCACACAAGATTACCTTAGAGTTCCACTAATCATTTGACACTTTTTTTTTTTTTTTGATGTGGGTCGCGATAGTTTTTAAGCGTAGGCCTTTCCCGTTAGTATAGTGTGTGGCCTCCTCTTGCGTGGATTAGTGACTGGCATCTCCTCAACATGGGTGCGATCAGATAGATGTCTGACATGAGCCTGTAGGATCGCTGCCCGCTCTTCGTGGAGTGCCTGGAACTGATCACAACCATTGGCTGGAGCAACGTTTCGGCGACAAACACGTCTTTGCAGCTCATTCCACAGGTGCTCAATCGGACTCATGTCTGCAGACAGGAATGGCCAGGGAAGGGTTTGAATGTTGTTAGCAGCCAGGAACAGCATTGTTGCGCACGTAAAAAAATCCCTTGGTAGTTGAAAATCGGAAATAGGAGCTAACAGCGCTTCCTGGGCAAATTTTGGAGATACAAATCTAACCAAAGTATTTCATGATCGTCGCCGGTGCTACAGAGCCTGTGCACCGTGTTGAGCCTCTTCAGGCATCTATTTTAGTTAAAAGAAGAACAGAGCACTAATGGGCTACTACCAGTCGGCCATGATGTTGATCCGTTGCTCAAAATCTCCAAACCCATCTTACTAACTTACTAAGGGAGTTGGTCAGTCGGAGTCGCGACTTCAAGGTCCAGTGAGCGAAAAAGATAAATAGGGTACAGATCTCTAATCTTGTTTCGGTGATGAACCAGACGTTTTTTCTTTGAAAAATCGCAACTTCCATAGTTTACAGTCTATGTGTTCTAAGTCTAGCAGATATCTATGTTCAGCATACCTTCATCTAAACAATTTTATAATTCTAACTTTTTCTTTATCGTTATTTTATTTTTTATTTTATTCTTTTTGTCTTATAAATAAAAATTATTTTTTTCCTACTACAATTATATATAAAGACATTATTACTTTTTTCAAACTAATTTTGCTAATTTGTTCTTGTCACTTAATCTATGCCATATCATTTTTTTTTCTTCCTATATTTTGCAGTGATTCACGTGACCGCCTAGTCAGCACAGCTGGTTGCAGTTGTTTGTCCTTTGTTACTGTTGTGTAGTTCATTTCGACAAAGGCTCCAGCCCGAACCTCTGTTTTTCACTTTTGTGAACACTGTTCCCCTTGCCCCTTTGGCTAAGCTTTTTAGCCGCATCTCATCGTATTATATTCTTGGTATTAGCTTGACTGCCGTCACCCCCGTTTTCATCACCAGAGACTTTTCGTGATGCTTTCTCTTCCTTGTCGACAAAACGAGAAATTTGTTACTGCTGACTGACTTTTTACGCCACCAGGACATCACACTAACTGATAAATGCTTAGTAACACAAAGTGCCATATTCGGATGAGGATCGCCTGTGGAGAGGTCACAGAAACCCCGTTCAACCGTTAGATTATATTAGTACCCTAGGCAACAACTAGGGTGGAGCTTGAAATAACGAAAAATGCACAACTCCAGCTCTTCCGCCTGATTGTACTTTCATATTCAAAGAGTCACTTTTATCATGTGCCTATCTTCATGATGGTCCGCCCCTGCCCCTTCCTTCCTGGTACGATGCATGCTTTTTGATATTATTTTATCCAATCCGTCGTGGCGCTTGATACGACCCACACACACAAAAGCTTTCTATACAGGATGATGTTTATAAGCCTTCCTTGCTTGATGTTCAGATCTTTCAAGATGTCAGTATTTCTCCTCTTCTTTGCCCAAGATATTCTGAGAATCTTTCTATAGCATTTCAGCTCAAAAGTCCCTATTCTCTTTTTTAAGGACTGGGAGACAGCCTACAGCTCAAATCCGTATGTTGCCACAAGGAAGATGCATGCTCTCAAAATTCTAAAGCTAGAATGTTCTCAACTTAAAAGTTATAATAATTCACAGTATTAACATTGTAAAAATTATGTATACCTCTGTAACTTATGTAGATTGATTATGCTAGTCTGTGCATCTTCTTTAAATTGATTTTGCTTGCCTGTTCATCTTTTTAGATTGATTTTGCTTGCCTGTTTATCTTTTTAGATTGATTTCGCTTGCCTGTTCATCTTCCTTCTTTTCTAGAAGATACAGAAGCATGTCTCTCGCTGTTATCAGGGCAGTCTTAACGCATGGGCCCGCTGGGCACTTGCCAGCGGGCTCCACGGGTCTAGGGACGTCAAAGTGGTCTGTGAATGTTAAGCAACTAGCCACTGGGAAATTCTTAGTAATTTCATACTGTGTCGTCACATCTGTGTTTATGCTTTAACGCCAGTTTTGTTGAACTGCCAATAAAATCAGTATATGTTCAAACTATCGATCATTTGCATCTCATTTCTGTGTGAGCTATTCTAGGGGTCCCATCACCTTGGTTTTCCCTGGGGCCTCAGCACAATGACTTGCCCGAAAACCCTTAATGCCCGTAAGATGGTCCTGATTGGTGGCACAACAACTAGGCCACCCGCCTCTCCTATTTCTGTGTTGTGTGCTACCCTTAAAGTGGTGTTCACAGCTTTGATTAGTCCGTATGTACATCTTTTACTAAGGTGACAACTAGATCTACTTTTGATGGACTAATTTAGGGTTCAGATAATTTCATTCATTTGTTTGTTTATTTTAATCCACCTGATGCGGATTTAAACCCAAGACCTCCCCTCTGACAGCCAAGCGTCTACCCACAACACTACAGAGCCTCACTACGTTCACAAAGTTCTTAAAATCCTCGGGGTGTAGCCTTGGTTATCATGGCTGTCGACAGCCCTCTGTCAATTGTACGGCTGACTGTGTTTTAGTTGTATATCCACGTCACAATTCCAAATATGATACCGATATGGTGCAACAGGATCAGTGATCATAGTGGCCAAGATCCATCTACATCTCATACTGGTCCAAAGCTGTCTACACCTGATAATCTTGGTAATCTTGCTAATCTTAGTTTTAGCTTCATAGCAAACGAGTCACCCCATAGTTGCTTCGCTCCTGTGCCCCCCCCCCCCCCCAAAAAAAAAAAAAAACACAGAATGTTCGTCGCAGTCCCTTGTGGAAAGATTGACAGACTGCTGTCTCAGCATATGCACTTGCATATAAACGCATTAAAATCATACGGTAGCCATTAGAAGTGCTAACACAAACAGTCCGACACTAGAAATGCAGTTCATCATCGACGATAGCAGAAGTCGCCAACAGATCAGCAGTCATGCACGCGATCCATATTAATCACATAAGGGCACCACCAATATTGAGGCGACAGGCCACACGGCATTTTCTGAATCTACAGTTCACAGAACCACGTTGGTCACAGTCAAAAAACATTCCAAATGAAATCCGCTGCTCGCAGGTTCGCTCCATGCACTCAACTCAGTAGCTAGCGCGACGAAACTGTGTCCTTTCAGTCTACAAATGGATAAAAAATGCAACGGCCGCTGTCTGGCAGAAGCAAAAAACTTAATAACACCTAATACTGGTTAAGACCTGTCCACACCCCATACTGGTCATGACCCATTTACACCTCAAACTGGTCAAGAGCGATCTACACCTCATACCGGTCAAGACATATCAAGATCTCATTCTTGTGAAGACCTATCTACATCCCATACGAGCTAGGTTCTGTTTACAGAACAGAAAGCGGAACAGAAAGCATCTCGCCTTTTGATAAATACAAGCTGAATAGAAATGCTTAAGAATATCTACACCTGATACTGGCTAAGCCATGTCTAAACCTGATACTGGCTAAGACCTCTAAATAACTTGTACTGACTAAGAGCTATCTACAACTGATACTGACTAAGAGCTATCTACAACTGATACTGACTAAGAGATATCTACAACTGATACTGACTAAGAGCTGTCTAAAACTGATACAGACTAAGAGCTATCTACAACTGATACAGACTAAGATCTATCTACAACTGATACTGACTAAGAGATATCTACAACTGATACTGACTAAGAGCTATCTACAACTGATACTGACTAAGAGCTATCTACAACTGATACTGACTAAGAGATATCTACAACTGATACAGACTAAGAGCTATCTGCAACTGATACAGACTAAGAGCTATCTACAACTGATACAGACTAAGAGCTATCTACAACTGATACTGGACAAGAGCTATCTACTCATGATGCTTCTTAAGCGCTGCCTACAACTAAGATCACTCAATGCCTGATACTGGCTAAGACCAATAAATACCTGATACTGACTAGGATATATCAATACCTGATACTGACTAAGAGATATCAATACCTGATACTGGCTGAGAGCTATTAATATCTGATACTGGCTGAGAGATATTAATACCTGATACTGGCTAAGAGTTATCAATACCCGATACGGGCTAAGAGCTATCAATACCTGATACTTGCTAAGAGCTATCAATACCTGATAATGACTAAGAGCTGTCAAAACCTGATACTGGCTAAGAGATATCAATACCTATTACTGGCTAAGAGCTGTCAATACCCGATACTGGCTAAGAGTTATCAATACCCAATAACTCGCTAAGAGCTTTCAATACCCGATACTGGCTAAGAGCTGTTAATACCCGATACTGGCTAAGAGACATTAATACCCGATACTGGCTAAGAGCTATCAATACCTATTACTGGCTTAGAGCTATCAAAAACCGATACTGGCTAAGAATTGTTAATACCCGATACTGGCTAAGAGCCATTAATACCCGATACTGGCTAAGAGCTATCAATACCCGATACGGGCTAAGAGCTATCAATACCTGATACTGGCTAAGAGCTCTCTACACCTGATACTGTCTAAGAGCTATCAATATCTGATACTGGCTAAGA